TACTAATATTTGTACACACCGTTATTATCAAAACCCATCATGGTATAAGTTTTGTGATTTATTTTAATTTAAAGTTCTTACAATCAAACTATATTGATTTATAGTTCAGTCAATAGATTTACATGCACAAAACATTGTAGAATTTAATTTTTCAATAACTAATCAATGTTTATGAAATTTAATTTTATTCAAAAAATGTTGACCTTATTATACTGTAATAATATTTTTGATACATACTTATATTTTAATTAAGATACCTAGTAATGTCTTCATTTTATAACATAATAATTTATTCGAAAATGAATGAATACGAACCTACGAAACACAGTTAGTAGTATGGAATACTCTGATTGACTGTTCACTAAGAACTCAGTGTAATTTTAAATTTTACCCACTCGTCATCCCTACTATGCAATACGAAGAATGGGTGATAACCTGAATTTGTCCTTGCTAAGGTGCGCCTAATTACAGTATTTGACAGACGATAATTTAAACAATTGTTTTCTCTCTGACATTCCATAGGTGGGGAGATGTATAACGCACGGAAACCTCAACAAGTCAAGTCTCTTGTCAACGAAGATTTATAAGCCGTTTGGCCGTAGAGCACTAGTGGCGTGACAGTGAATATTTGTTATTTCCCAATTTATATAATTCTCCGTTTGAGATTAATCATGACCAGTCGGTTGTTTTCACTTTATCTGAACAAATGATATTAGCTCATGTTTCATTTTTATTACTTTATCCGTTAAAATGTGGTTTTCTGAAATATGCTGAGAGCTCTACGGTAAACGGGGTGCGATGACTGCGAATGACTCTTAAATAATAAAATACATTATGTCCGATTGATTAAGGACATCCTCTAATACTCTAGAAATATATTACGTGAAATTGACTTATTCGATCAGAAAATGTATTCAATCAATATAGAAAAATATTTAAATTTAGTTTTACAACTCTAAAGTGCACTGAATATTGTTCAGTCTTGAAAATCAAATTGAAACATTAATATAAAACCATTATTGTTAAATTAAATTGTTTCGATTGAATGTATTAAAATAAAACTATATTGCAACTTTTTTATATTCACGGGGAAAAAATCGTTTTATATTTTTTCCAGGAAAAATAATTTTATGTTTTCAATTTAAATTTGGTCATTTTTAGATTTAATACGTCTCCGAAAAGAAAAGAAATATTTTACACTAATACCTTGAATTTTGTAAAAATGAATTAATTTTCAAGTGAATGCAATTTAAACTTTTGTTGTATAGCTACGTGGATTGAACTTGTCTGAATTGATCAGTTTTCATTGTTTGTTTTAAAAAGGGTTTCTTCTGTCGTTATCGTATTGTTTACGAAAAGCGTATTAAATAGTTATTTATTTATCATCATTAAAAATTGCTCATTAGTTCTGGTTCATATTATTTATTCGTAAAACGTAATTAACTCAGTGTTATTTTGCATTGGATAAATAATAAAAATTTTAAAAATTAACAATTCAACAATTTTTAATAATATTTTACCCGATTACTACTGTGTTACATAATCAGTTACATTTGCTCGACTTTTCGCACTTCTCGTATCATATATTATGCACAAATACTTATTGTAGAAAAATTACTTACTCGATCCTGTATTAATAGAAGTGAAATTGCTGCTGACGGTTTTCTTTATGTTTTGCGATTTTTTTTGTACGTCGAAAACAGACAAATCGATCGGTAATTCTTTCCATTTAGCCGGCGGACAAGAATGGAAAACAATATATGGCACTATATTGTTCGTCGCAGACTTGAAACTAACAAATTACCCTTTCTTTGTTTTTTATTTCCTTTCGTGTACGCATAGTATTTGCTTTTTTCTCCACACTTAGCCTTTTTTCGAAAAAGACATCGTTTTTAAACGCAATTACATTGCCTTTTCGAGTGTAACCAACCGCAGGGAGGTTTTTAAACAATACTTCAAATATTGTCGCATAGTTTACAATGTTTGTTTGAAAAGAATGAAAACTACTAAAACACAATAAACCTTATTTACTGTTAATTTTTCATTATTATTATTATTTATTAAATTAATCATTTCTACAATGATTTTAATATTACATGTTACTAGTTGAATTTTTCGTATTCTATATTGGGAAAAACAGAACAAACATATACGAAGTAAAGAGAAAGATAAAATGTAAACAATAATGAACGAATGATTACAAATTTTTGGTCTTGGATGGTAATGATAACAACTGTAGACAAAAATATATCCTGCGGAAGGCATGATTTCATTCGACAGTTTTTTGTTTTTTTTCAATTCTATAATGGAGGGCTCCATTATAATTGAATAAGACTAAAGTGAATTATTGACTTTAGTCTTATTCATTAGTTTTATTCCGGTACCATTATGAAGTTGCTTGTTACGAATAAACTAGGGTGTTTCAAGGTGCAGTATTAAAATTAATGATCATATTAAAACATTGGTTTTCGAATGTATAATCTGATTAATTATTATTTATCATATAGTCAGTGTCTTTAGTTGTGGTACAACTTCTCTGTAACTTTCATGTATTTTTTATAACAGGCGTTTTACAAATATTTAATAACCAACAAAAGTATTAAAATATTTCATATCTTATTTTGCTTGTTAAGAACTGCCATCTATGGTTTTTTTGAACTATTTAAATATTTTCCTATTGTTTTTTTCTTTTTGTGACTTATGTATAGTAAATTTTTTCATAGTATGAAATTTATTCTTTAGTATTTTTATTGTTGAATACTTAAGTTCTATTTTTTTTGTTACAATATTCAAATTATTGTACATATGCATTACTATAACGTTTTCTGCACTAAATATTTTTTTAAGTGATTTATTGATGTATTTATAATATATTGTATTCTTATATCGGATAATAATATAAATTCTCTGTACGTTGTTAAATGCAAAAACCATAGCAAATATTTTTTACTCTTAATAAATCATTTTAGAGTTCTTGATAGTTAAAATAATGCACGTATACTTTTACGAAAATCTATACATAAAAAATTACAAAAAAAATTATTATAATTTTATCCAGATAATGTATGTTAATACTATTCAGTACACAAAATCCATCCCCATTGCTCATTCTTCTTTTTTTTTTAAAAAAAACATATAAATAATTGTACATGTATATATGTATCCATGTAAATTCGTTGTATTATTTATTTATTCATTTTTGTAAACACTACAAGAATTGTACAGTTGCTGAGTACGGTTAAATATTTTAGCGTTTTTGAGTCGATAATTTTTCCACTTGGGAATATTTGAAATCATATCTAACGCGATGATATAGACTTATATAAACGGTAGAACGGGCATGGATAAAAAAAAAAAATAAAAATAAAGTACCGAGCGAAAAAAATAAAATAATTTGCGATAAAAAGCACACATGAAATGGTATTTTACATGTATTATACCGTTGGATGGCTTTCGTCAAACGGTAACTATTCGAGTGAAAACCCAGCAAACAAGTTAAGCGGCTTTGTTGGAGCACTTTAGTCGAAAGAGATTACGATCAGAAAAGAAGGTGGTCCTCACCGGCATTTTGTAGTTTACCGTATGTACTCGTATATTTGATGCTGCAGTGTTCAGCCGACGGAGAATATCTAAATCGAGCGTATCGTTTAACACGAGACAAAGAAATCAATAAATCCGAGAGCCTTAGATGTTCTACATGGTGCGTGTGTGCGTTCCGTCGAATTACGCGTTTATACACTATTGTTCTTATTGTTCTTTTCTCCGATTTTCGTGATCTTAAATAATGCGCTCGCTGAGAGATAATAATCGTAGTCGGCATGCGCCCGGTAATGTAAACGCGATGTACAATATTTCGTCTTGTTGAATCCAAAATCGAACTGCGGTCAATGTACACGTGTACGTTCGGAATGCGTTTACCGCAATTAACGTTTTGCTGATTCCAACCCTGCTGCCCACGACCCTGGGCGGGTCTCTCGGTCGCAGCAGGGATCCGTGTTTTCCGTGTGTAAAATTAATAACGTTTACAGCCAACGACCAGATCCCGTGCGGTTCGTGTTCGCCGCGCGCCCGCACTGTTTCGCGGTACACGGTCGTAACGGTTTCGGACGTCCCCGCGGTCCACGGACAATGGACTTCGGCGACCGGTCCCGGCGGTGCGTTCGAGCAGTCATCGTGGTAACAGTAACGCAATGCGTTTTACCAATCAGTCCCGACCTATCGGCAGAACGTTTTCGAACCAATTCGACGCAGTTCACTGACTAGTTTACGGTTGACCAATGTTAATCAATGGAACATTACAGACGGCGCTACTGGTTGCCAACCAGTTAGTGATAATTTCCAAGTGGTTCAACTGTTGAGTCATCTTTAAGTTGCGTTACTTCAATATTTTGCCACCCAACGAAGCTTTTTCTATTTTGTACGAACATTTGTAGAAAAAATGAATTTAAAGTTCATGAAAGAAGTGGAAAAACATCCCGTTTCAATTTCACTCTTTCGGAAGGCAGGGGAAATCATTTTCACCAAATCTAATAACTTTCTTAATATGTCATTCGTCCGTGGTCACACAGAACAAACTACAGATATCGATCTCGAATAGGTACATTATCAGTAGTCTCGTGTATGGACCCGAATCACCAATGCGTCAGTTACCGATTAGTAATTTCAATTACAAAACAGTTTAGTTTATTTTTTTTTAATAATTTCGTGTGTAGAAGACCTAACAGTCGGTTTTATCGTATGTGCGCGTTTACCAGTAACGCTATGCGCCAGCTTATCATTTATCCGTCTGTTTCTGTACCGGAACATGATTGTGTATCAATCGTCGAACGCCTCTGTACACTTTTGGCTTTCCGATGGTTTCGGTAGCGCGTATTAGACCCTCCGATGTAACAGCCCGTTATTAACGACAACGATACGCGTACACATGGACGTTTCTTCTTTTTGTTGCATTTCACTCACTTAATAAATAAACTAATAAATTATTTTTCTTTTGTTTACAGAGACTTGCAGGGAAACAATATTACGATCATATCGTCCACTGACTTCGCCAACCTGACTAATTTACGAGTCTTGTAAGTACTTTTGTTTCTACCTTATATTTATTTAAATATGTATCTTTAAAAGTCTTATTTGATTTATGTTCCTTTTCGTTCCCCTTTTTACATCCAGTTTGTTGGTTTCGTTGTCTGGCGACCTGTGAAAATTTAATAGAGCTCCTACTGCATACGTATACATGTAGGGTTAGGAGTATAATATATTATATACGATAGTTTCCCGGGACTTTTGAAATATATTTATTTTATTTTTCAAATGGACGGGGCAGGATTAAAATCTGAATTCGTATATTAATGAAAATAATTCGTGAAAACATATAGTAATTCCAAGTGATTTTCGGCAATTGAACCACTTGGAATTATTATTTATTCGATATTGCTAGCGAAAAGCGGCAAAAAACTGGATAAATTGAAAAAACTCAGTTTCTCATTATTCGTGTTAATAAGAACGGAAACTTATTTTTTTCACTCCCGTGAACTTCAACTATAGACGCTTATTATTTATTCGCATTACAAATATACATCGTTGCAAGTGCGTCTCGTAGCCACTTGTAAACATAATCTGTTATGATTTCTTGAGCCTCGAGGTATCTTGTTAAAATAAAAATTCTATTTAATTGTATCTTCTTTCAATAATAAAAAAAAAAAGAAGAAAAAAATTGAAACACGCTCGTTTACATCTTTTGAATTCTTATTTAAACAACAGTGTATTTTAACTGTTTTCATAAAATAAATTCGGTTCTAAATCATTATTATTTATACGAGATATATCATCGTAATTATTAAACTCTAGTAGGTTTCCTATGGGTTACTGGAATTTATACTATTGAATAGATATTAATAATTATTTCCAACTTCCTCAATATCACACCCGATACTCGCCAGATAATTTCTTCCCGTCCCAATCTACTACTACTATTATCACGACCATATCGCTCTTTTTAAACTCTGGACTGCTTATATAATCATATATAATTTGTTCACATTACTGTCGAGATTAATTGTATGCATACGAAATTCCAATAAAAAAAATATTCGTATTATTAACTGAGTTCAAAATGTTCAATACTAGAACCAAATTTATTTCATGAAATCAATTAAAATACATTGAATATTTTACTAAATTAAAATAGAACGAAATACATTTTTTATTTTTTTTATTTTTTACTATTAACATGAAACATTTAAAAATTAGTTAATAATATAAGTAACAATATTTATTGTTAATACTGTAAAATATCAATTCTAGTAATGTATAGATAATCCACTGGAATCCACTTATTTCGATTATGTATCGAATGTAAAAATTGGTACTCAAATATCAAAACAACAAAATGTAGGCTAATGATAATGTTTAATATTTTTTGTAATTATGAGAGATACTTACTGTCATAAGTAATAAATTCTAATAAAATAATACCTTTTGGTTTCTATCGATGTAATTAATAATTAATAATATTATAAATGTTTTATTGTCAAAAATATATTCATAAAAATTGTTGATGGACAAATATAAATTTAATATAATCGCATTTCATTGATTAATAAAATACACTTATCTTATGTACGTATAAAAGTTTATACTTTCAATGTCTAAAATAATATTATCATCACTGCTGGTAGAACTGTATTTTTAATTTCGATTTTTTGTTTATTATAAAACGTGTCTTAAAGAGGTGCTATAATATGTGAAGTATCTTTTGAATCACCAAAACTTTTATTGTTATGTATTTGAGGCATGTTTATATTTTTAGTAAGGGTGTAAGTTTCCAAACAGTGGATTCTGGTGAAAAGTAATTTTAATAAAATCGCAATATTTCTTTGATACTGCTGTCAAAAAGCAAGTTAAGAATTATTCATCCATGCGAAAGGATTTGTAACCAATTAAATTTGTTTTCTATATTGTTTATTATATACTTTTTATTTTAAAAACGCAATCAAATCATTCGTATTTTTTTCTCCTCCTGTATATAATACACACCCTCTTCGAAAGACCCTTTTTATAAGAAACTTTATAATTGAAAAATGTTTTTCTTAATTGTTTTCTTTTCTCTTATTTTTCAAGGCAATTGTCGGACAATCAGATTCATACGATCGAAAAAGGAGCTTTCAAACATCTTGGCCGATTGGAGCGATTGTAAGTACAAAACTCGAATCGTATAAATAATACATTTTCTCATCTTCGATCGTGTCCGGAATTAATAACAATCTCTGAAACTCTAGAACATTGCGCAGGAACAATGCTATAGGTTAATTTAACGAAACAGCCAGTAATGAATGTTTAATGAAGATGGTGCTTGAAATACAAATTGTATTATGTATATCAGGTCGGAGAATCGGACTTAAATTAAAACGTCAAAAGGTGCGATAACTCATTGCGTTTATATATATATATCATGTTTATGTATATGTAATCCGATGCATTACTAAAAGTGTGTGACAGACATCTCGACATTTTGACAAATGAAGGACGTAATAAAGTAAAAAACACATGCTTATCGAGTCAACTAACCATGCGATTATAAAACATTAAAATCATTTTCGTAATGTAGCAGTACACTCCTCTATAGAGGATGGTGGTTTTGGCAACATTTCCTGAACCAAAAGTTACGAACACTAAAAGTTTATTGTTTCTGGCGCGTGCACAAGGGGGGTTTTATATGGCACTCCTCCCCCCCGAAATTCAGGAAATTATCAAATATGTTTTTATGGAGTAAAAAATGGTATATTGATTACATAAATATGAAAATGAACAGCTTAAAACTCTCTCCGAAATATTTTTTGTGTACACGCCTAATTGTTACGTAACAAACTGAACAACTCCCAAGTTCTTATAAGACATATAAATACCTTATTATTTTAATTTTGTATAAGATAAATTATTAATATATTTATAATATTTTTATTTTTAACCATCCTATTTTATTGCAGCTTTTGTGAAAGACGATTCTCAACGAATGTTGAATTGTTTTGTCAACACAGCCATGGTATATCAAAATATATATCATATGGTAATTAATCGAAATCCGAGTATTTATAATTTAAAAGACCGTTCGTTGATTGCGTGTAAAAAGTCTGCAATGTAATTGCAATACAGTTTTATAATGTTCAACCGATCCGCATACTCATGTCTGTAAACATGTGCAAATCTGAGCGTTGAAAAAGAGTTGTGTGCATTTATTCTACGGTAAATCGTTCGCTTCGTGTAGCCGATGATATTCGGGTAACGGCAGTGGTTGACTTAGCAAAATTAAGGAAGGGGGATTCTGTTTGTTTTTAAGAAAATGCATCCCCAAGACTTGTTAAACATTATAATTATAACGTAATAATAGTATGGGACGTTAAATTTTTGAAAATTAGTAGGGATATTCCGTCCCCCTAAGTCCCCTCTCAAGTCAAGCACTGGGTACCGGCAAAGATCGGAAACTATGATAGAACAATAACAGTTGTAGATAAAACATTTTGCGTTATACCACGACGATGAGGACATCGTTCACACGTTATAACGGTGCAGCGGATCATGATGTATACCCAGTGGCGCAACTAGGGGTGGGATTTGGGGGTTGTGACCCCCCCCTCCCCGAAATTGTTATGAGATTTTATAAATTCTACGTAGGAAAAAAAAAATGGTTTATCTTGAAAGCGCGAAATGGCTGATTGATATGAAACATGAATATTATTCGTATTATAATTGGTAACAATAATAACATAACAATATGGAACGTTTTGTAACGTTCCGTTCAACTTTTAAACATCAATAACCTTGCTATTATGATTTCTTGATAGTCGATTTTATAATACTTTTTTTTGTGAAATAGTTTAATTTGTAATTTAAATATTTTACTCATTAACCTAACTTAATCTTACTTCTTCATCCCTACCAAACACCTATAGAAAATGTTTATTTTTTCCAAATTCACCCCCCCCCCCCCCCCCCCAAAAAAAAAAAAACCAATCTTGGTTGTGCCATTGTGTATACCTCGATATTATAACGTGTCGCCACTGTATATGAGGACTGTATATGGGGTATGGACGGATTTCAACAACCATGCAATTTGTCATGAATAACCCCGTTGATTGTTTACAATGCAATTTCCGCGTCCTATACACAGGCATTCGTAGGATACCTGGTGCACGCGTATGTATATATTATACGTGTATCGCAGTCTCTCTTGCAGCAACACCGAGCATCCTCGCTTACCGCGTACCCAAAACCCCTGACGGCTAATTAACTTATAATGCCGAACGTACGCGCGTATTATCGTCCAAAATATACACATCAGTATTCCGAACGACCGCGTATGTGTGCACACATAACAGACACGGGTAGCTACGTCCCAGAACGGTTATACATATAGGGTGGATATTTCTGTGCATGGGTCGAATGGTGTGTTCAAACGTTATTATGGTAGTTATTCGTACGCGCGTTGCAGGCAACGTTCGGGAAACGGATTTCAAATCACTTCTTTGCCCCCGTCACTTCGTATTTTTCTGTGTTCACGGCTAATGGTTTCGGTGGGATAAGGTTGAGCGAACATCAATCCAAAGGTTATCCGAAAACATCTGTACGTATAAGACAAATGGAGTGAACTATACGTGTCTGATCTATTTTTTATCTTTCCTTATTTACTGCCACGGTTAGCCCTTACTTTTTTTTACAATGATAATCATTAAACTGAAGCCATTAATCATTATTACCTAACCTAACCTTAAAATATAATGGATGAAATATGAATATTGTATAAATATTTTTAAGAAAATAAATCCTAGATAATTTTTACTCGAAAATATCGTTTACTCGATGATAGAACGATCACTCTATACACACATTTAAACATGGTCTAGAAAATATAATAATTTACAAACACACGTAATATATTATATAAACTACCCTTCGAATTCTGTAAACATTATTGTTTCCGCGTGGTAACATTAAACATTGATGCGTTTCCACGCGAATCTATCGCAGCCAGAAAAATAAAATACGTGTTTTCACGTCATGCATTGTTCAAATATTTCAAAAATTCCTCATTGCCGATAATATATTTGTATGAAATTAATTCATATATTTTAACTCAAGTTAGAATCTGGGTTTAAAATGTATCTTACGTCTATTCCTCATACGCTATCGGCTAAAGATCTTCCACGTTTATTTAACGTTAATTAATTTTATAATATTTATATTTAAGATCTTATCCAATACTAATCAGATATTCTACAAAAAATAAAAAAAACCAAAAATAAATCGAAATCGGATGAGGTACAGGGACGTGTGAATGATATAACAATATTGTTTTCTCAACCTGTAACCAATAAATCATTGCTTCAAAAATAACAATTATCCGTGATAGAGGTACGTAGAGTTAATAAGATAGATGATAATTTTGATATAGCAGTGGAACCAAATTTCTTAAAAAGATATGTTTAATTTTCAATTAAAAATGTCAAGTGTGTTTAATCAGCACAAAATTAATTAATCTATTTAAAAAATCATGAAACATTTATAAAATGTTAATACCCTGTACAAGCTTCAAGTCGCTACAATTAATATTTATTTAATAACAACATGATCCTATATCGTATACTAAAAATTCATTAAAATAACCAATTTTGTCAATGTTAATTTCCAATGCATACATATTTTACACCTATATTCTATGATTGTGAAAACATATATCTACGAGATATTTGTTAAAAATGTTTAACAGATTAAAAAGTTAAATTACTAAATGAGTATAATCAGTTTATATATCAGAATAATCCAAGACAAAAAAGATTTAATTTTCTATATTTAAAATAAATAACGCATTCAATCAGGCTAATTTAGTTGTAGACCACAAACAGCTTTTTAACGTTTGAAAGACAAAAAACAATATTCTTTTTAATAATTTGTAATCGCATTGAACAATTACATTCTCGAAATCAACAAAACATAAAATGTTATATGATGAATCAACGGACTAAGAGCATAGTTTTAAAATAATTACATTCATCATTTAATATTTTATTATTTTCTATGTCTAAAGTAAAACGACTGACAAACGGCTACAATATATATTAATAATATTAATTAAGACATTAATGATAATACGATGATAGCGTGAACTCAGTAGTAATTTGTTATAACGGAAGTAGTAAATATTGTTTAAGGCGTCGCAGTCACCGGCATCGCCCCTTATAAGAATTAAAATTAAGATGCTCCTACGCATAAGCTTTCACGTTAATTTGTCCAGGTTGTTTTTTTTTAAACACGATTTTTACAAATTTCATTTCCCCGTAGTTACTTAAAGGTCTAAATTTCGATGGTATAACACACATCGTACATTTAGCCTATAATGAAACAAATACCAACCGGGGCGGGCCCGGCGTCATGCTTATCGTGAACAAAATTGTGCGCGGGGAAGCGGTTTGAAAAACGAAAAGAAAAATATTAATAATAACAACCAATTAGCTTCATCGTCTATCGGAATGGTAGTTCGAGAAAATTACGGTAACGTGTAACTGATGCGGTGTCTTGCGGTTAAATGTTGTAGCTTTCGTCGTGACACTGCGACATAGATCTTTGATAATATTTCAATACGGTTCGTTGTCAGATCTATTCAGCACGATCGGTATTCACAGACCTTCCATCACGGAGAGGGAGGAGTATGTGATATACGGTTTGCTATAAGAGTAAATAATTCTTCGTGAAGGGGGGATATCTCCAAAAACACGGGAGGTAAATTGCAAATTTGGTCGTAATCCGGGCCCGCGTGTTCGACATTTCCCCGCGCTCATTTCTACCACCGCGTTAAAACTTAAAACAGCACAGAAAAGGTGGAAATCGTCGTCGTTGCTTTAACGTTTCGATGTTTTCTACCTGGTCGCCCGACGGACTCGGTGTGCGATCCTGGTCCAGAACATTGCGCAGGTGTTTCTCGAACACCGTTGGTGCGCCTCGTGGTCACATTAACATAAGCCGGTCGTCACCGACGTTTCACTTTACGGTCGTTGAACACGACCTCGTCGTTGTATCGCCTATGCCCCGTCGTCATTCTGTCGTCGCGGAGCTTTCGATTTCTCATCTTGATGTAACGCAAAAAAAAAAACCCCCGTTACAACCCACACCCTATTGATGTACAGGTATTCGCGACATCG